TGCCTAGGCTTTACTGGTTCAAGTGGTGTTGTGTGAATACTACATGTAACAACGTCATTATGTTACCTGCCTAGGCTTTACTGGTTCAAGTGGTGTTGTGTGAATACTTTTGCGATTCTGCAAAATGACGAACCCAAAAAAGAATACTAGAGAAGAGCACAACATAATTTTTTTCTTCTACGTTCTAGCCGTTTTACGACTCCGTGGTTTGCGCCTTGCATTATTTCGCAGGCCAGTGCAGTGGCAGTGTTCGCACAACTAGCTACAGTGCATGTTGGCAACTGAAATCCGACCACCAGGGCGGCGTGCCGCGCCGCCCTGGGGGTCGGATTTCAGTTGCCAGCACTTACTACTAGTATACATGTACGTGTACTTCGCAGGTCTATGGCTGCGCAACGCCCGGCGCGTACTTGAGTGAGTCGACTGGATTTCATTGAGCAGAACTGTAGGATGCACGCCATGGACGGCGTCCACAGTTGTTGTTGTTGTTTTCTTTATTTGAATTCGCTAAAACCAAACGGACAGAACTGTCCAGTGACAAGGGAGCGAATGATGAGCGTCTTAATCACTATGCATCAAAACATCTCAGGACAAAATGAGACAGACTATATTAAGGGAGGGTCTGCACAACACTTTTACATAAAGGGGAGTACGAGAACAAAGGCGCTGCAGAAGTCGAAGCAAGAAAGCAATCAACGCCAGAGATATTTTTGTCCACCAAAAACAGAGAGAGAGAGAGAGAGAGAGAGAGAGAGAGAGAGAGAGAGAGAGAGAGAGAGAGAGAGAGAGAGAGAGAGAGAGAGAGAGAGAGAGAGAGAGAGAGAGAGAGAGAGAGAGAGAGAGAGAGAGAGAGAGAGAGAGAGAGAGAGAGAGAGAGAGAGAGAGAGAGAGAGAGAGAGAGAGAGAGAGAGAGAGAGAGAGAGAGAGAGAGAGAGAGAGAGAGAGAGAGAGAGAGAGAGAGAGATCCGAGAGCGAGAGAGAGACCATACAGGGCTCTAGAAGTGGACTGCATCGCGAAAGCTTCTCATCATGAACCAGCGCAATTATTGATTAATAGAGTCCATAACCCCAAAAGTGTGCAACTGGGGTCTGGCTGCTGTAGGCACAGTGCGCGGCGGAAATCCAACTTTAGTATTTACAGTCAGCATGCCGCTGAGGCACAGAGGACAACACTCCACATTCCGCGGTGCTTTGGAACCAGGGAGTTGTACAAGCGCAACGAATGTGACGTAAAGTTGGAATTCCGCCGCGCGGATCCCCATGTACAGAGTTGCACGCTCTTGACTCTTGTTAACCCTTTTTACCACCGCTACAAGGGTGTGCCATTCAGTCACTGGACGAAATTCTGCTTCACGTAAAAGTAAGGCAAATAGCCCACTCCACAACTTTATGGTCCTGGCAACTGGGCGTTTGAACTGTTGGGAAATGGAGTCCGAGACTACTACCATCACATTGACTAACTTGATATACAGTGCTGGCAACTGAAATCCGACTAAAATCATCATACACCTATGGTCCTGGCAACTGGGCGTTTGAACTGTTGGGAAATGGAGTCCGAGACTACTACCATCACATTGACTAACTTGATATACAGTGCTGGCAACTGAAATCCGACTAAAATCATCATACACCTGCAGACACTTAGGGTGAGACAACAAGTGAAGAAAAACGGCAGACTTCTTACGATCACAATCACCATCTGATTCCTCGTCTCCAACAACCGCAACCTCGTCCTCCGTTTCATCTCCCAACTCGTCCTCAGTGTCGTCCTCCGTGTCACTCTCCTCATCAACACTGATCGGTCCCCGGCTCGTTTGACGTTGTTTAACCTCTGTTCGTTGACTCCTCCTTTGATCTTGAATGGCAACTTGTTACCATTGTTGTTGTTGTTGTTGTTGTTGTTGTTGTTGTTGTTGTTGTTGTTGTTGTTGTTGTTGTTGTTGTTGTTGTTGTTGTTGTTGTTGTTGTTGTTGTTGTTGTTGTTGTTGTTGTTGTTGTTGTTGTTGTTGTTGTTGTTGTTGTTGTTGTTGTTGTTGTTGTTGTTGTTGTTGTTGTTGTTGTTGTTGTTGTTGTTGTTGTTGTTGTTGTTGTTGTTGTTGTTGTTGTTGTTGTTGTTGTTGTTGTTGTTGTTGTTGTTGTTGTTGTTGTTGTTGTTGTTGTTGTTGTTGTTGTTGTTGTTGTTGTTGTTGTTGTTGTTGTTGTTGTTGTTGTTGTTGTTGTTGTTGTTGTTGTTGTTGTTGTTGTTGTTGTTGTTGTTGTTGTTGTTGTTGTTGTTGTTGTTGTTGTTGTTGTTGTTGTTGTTGTTGTTGTTGTTGTTGTTGTTGTTGTTGTTGTTGTTGTTGTTGTTGTTGTTGTTGTTGTTGTTGTTGTTGTTGTTGTTGTTGTTGTTGTTGTTGTTGTTGTTGTTGTTGTTGTTGTTGTTGTTGTTGTTGTTGTTGTTGTTGTTGTTGTTGTTGTTGTTGTTGTTGTTGTTGTTGTTGTTGTTGTTGTTGTTGTTGTTGTTGTTGTTGTTGTTGTTGTTGTTGTTGTTGTTGTTGTTGTTGTTGTTGTTGTTGTTGTTGTTGTTGTTGTTGTTGTTGTTGTTGTTGTTGTTGTTGTTGTTGTTGTTGTTGTTGTTGTTGTTGTTGTTGTTGTTGTTGTTGTTGTTGTTGTTGTTGTTGTTGTTGTTGTTGTTGTTGTTGTTGTTGTTGTTGTTGTTGTTGTTGTTGTTGTTGTTGTTGTTGTTGTTGTTGTTGTTGTTGTTGTTGTTGTTGTTGTTGTTGTTGTTGTTGTTGTTGTTGTTGTTGTTGTTGTTGTTGTTGTTGTTGTTGTTGTTGTTGTTGTTGTTGTTGTTGTTGTTGTTGTTGTTGTTGTTGTTGTTGTTGTTGTTGTTGTTGTTGTTGTTGTTGTTGTTGTTGTTGTTGTTGTTGTTGTTGTTGTTGTTGTTGTTGTTGTTGTTGTTGTTGTTGTTGTTGTTGTTGTTGTTGTTGTTGTTGTTGTTGTTGTTGTTGTTGTTGTTGTTGTTGTTGTTGTTGTTGTTGTTGTTGTTGTTGTTGTTGTTGTTGTTGTTGTTGTTGTTGTTGTTGTTGTTGTTGTTGTTGTTGTTGTTGTTGTTGTTGTTGTTGTTGTTGTTGTTGTTGTTGTTGTTGTTGTTGTTGTTGTTGTTGTTGTTGTTGTTGTTGTTGTTGTTGTTGTTGTTGTTGTTGTTGTTGTTGTTGTTGTTGTTGTTGTTGTTGTTGTTGTTGTTGTTGTTGTTGTTGTTGTTGTTGTTGTTGTTGTTGTTGTTGTTGTTGTTGTTGTTGTTGTTGTTGTTGTTGTTGTTGTTGTTGTTGTTGTTGTTGTTGTTGTTGTTGTTGTTGTTGTTGTTGTTGTTGTTGTTGTTGTTGTTGTTGTTGTTGTTGTTGTTGTTGTTGTTGTTGTTGTTGTTGTTGTTGTTGTTGTTGTTGTTGTTGTTGTTGTTGTTGTTGTTGTTGTTGTTGTTGTTGTTGTTGTTGTTGTTGTTGTTGTTGTTGTTGTTGTTGTTGTTGTTGTTGTTGTTGTTGTTGTTGTTGTTGTTGTTGTTGTTGTTGTTGTTGTTGTTGTTGTTGTTGTTGTTGTTGTTGTTGTTGTTGTTGTTGTTGTTGTTGTTGTTGTTGTTGTTGTTGTTGTTGTTGTTGTTGTTGTTGTTGTTGTTGTTGTTGTTGTTGTTGTTGTTGTTGTTGTTGTTGTTGTTGTTGTTGTTGTTGTTGTTGTTGTTGTTGTTGTTGTTGTTGTTGTTGTTGTTGTTGTTGTTGTTGTTGTTGTTGTTGTTGTTGTTGTTGTTGTTGTTGTTGTTGTTGTTGTTGTTGTTGTTGTTGTTGTTGTTGTTGTTGTTGTTGTTGTTGTTGTTGTTGTTGTTGTTATTGTTAAATCTTGTGTTCCCAGTGTCCTCGCCGGTGCTTGATCTCCAGTACTGTAATAATTCCTTGAATAATTAGCCGTTGATCGTCTAGGTCTTTGAATGTTGATTGTGTTACTTTCTTTGTTGAATTCCGTTCCCTTCAGCCTTCTTTCTCGTTGTTCACAATCAGTGCTTGCCTCATCCATATATGCACGTGCCACCGACACCACAGACTCAGCCCCAGCACCGCCGATGATAGATGTAGGTGGCGGTTCTGGGGGAGGCAACGGCAAAGACGGCGATGAGGGCATTACCTCATCACAGCGTCCACTTTGGTCTTGGTCTTTTAGTTTTTCTGTTCTTTGTCGTGCACGGTATGCTAGTCAGTTGAAAGTACTTGAGGACTGATGAGTCCAGCGGGGACGAAACGTACGTCGAGCTATGTCGTTGCTGTGTCATCATCTATGTGCCATGCGCTACTTGATGTACCAGCCTGCTATGCCGGATACCGCCAGCCATGCATCGACCAGGCGCCAGGCGCGAACTGATGGTGGTGGTGGTGAGAAGGAGAGCTCTGTGCCAGAACTTTGCAGCCTAGAGAGCGTGTGTGGGCAGGCGTGTGTTTACCGCCATATTGCCAGGTGTGTCTGTACCACCGTATTTATCAACCATAAGTACAGCTGCAGTGGTGTCTTGAATTTCATTCTCCTGAGTCAAGCTCCGTATGAAGACATCCAAGAAGAAGATTGCCTGATGAGTCCAGCGGGGACGAAACGTACGTCGCAATCGAGCTATGTCGTTGCTGTGTCATCATCTATGTGCCATGCGCTACTTGATGTACCAGCCTGCTATGCCGGATACCGCCAGCCATGCATCGACCAGGCGCCAGGCGCGAACTGATGGTGGTGGTGGTGAGAAGGAGAGCTCTGTGCCAGAACTTTGCAGCCTAGAGAGCGTGTGTGGGCAGGCGTGTGTTTACCGCCATATTGCCAGGTGTGTCTGTACCACCGTATTTATCAACCATAAGTACAGCTGCAGTGGTGTCTTGAATTTCATTCTCCTGAGTCAAGCTCCGTATGAAGACATCCAAGAAGAAGATTGCCTGATGAGTCCAGCGGGGACGAAACGTACGTCGCAATCGAGCTATGTCGTTGCTGTGTCATCATCTATGTGCCATGCGCTACTTGATGTACCAGCCTGCTATGCCGGATACCGCCAGCCATGCATCGACCAGGCGCCAGGCGCGAACTGATGGTGGTGGTGGTGAGAAGGAGAGCTCTGTGCCAGAACTTTGCAGCCTAGAGAGCGTGTGTGGGCAGGCGTGTGTTTACCGCCATATTGCCAGGTGTGTCTGTACCACCGTATTTATCAACCATAAGTACAGCTGCAGTGGTGTCTTGAATTTCATTCTCCTGAGTCAAGCTCCGTATGAAGACATCCAAGAAGAAGATTGCCTGATGAGTCCAGCGGGGACGAAACGTACGTCGCAATCGTCGTTGCTGTGTCATCATCTATGTGCCATGCGCTACTTGATGTACCAGCCTGCTATGCCGGATACCGCCAGCCATGCATCGACCAGGCGCCAGGCGCGAACTGATGGTGGTGGTGGTGAGAAGGAGAGCTCTGTGCCAGAACTTTGCAGCCTAGAGAGCGTGTGTGGGCAGGCGTGTGTTTACCGCCATATTGCCAGGTGTGTCTGTACCACTGCTATAATAATAATAATAATAATAATAATAATACCGGTAATGGCATAATCTTGGGATCTCGTCAAAAAATTATGCTCCGGCATAATATACGGATTCCAACGTGTAAGGTCGGCATAATCTTTCGGTTTAGACAAAAATTATGCTTAGGGGCATAATGCAGCTTTGTCAGAAAGCCTGCAGATGTTTTTTTTTAAATACCCCAGTTACGACTCCTTGTCTGCAGAAACACTGCTCAACAAAAAGACTACAGGTAAAACTCACCTTGGTCAGCCAACCCCAGTTTGTCCGGCAAATAGGTCAACTGACCAATGAGAACACCTGGAGTTGGCCGACAAAAGCTGGTCTTAAAAACACCACAGAGCGTCTCTCACATGTCCGCCTTCCATCTTCGCTGCATTTCCGCAATCTCACACACACACACACACACACACACACACACACACACACACACACACACACACACACACACACACACACACACCATTGGACCATTGGACACACACACACACACCTGGTCCTGGTAAACACTGCCATTACGGTCACGTGTCCCCTTACGGGGCCGACAATATAGAACGACGAGCGGGACCATGTTCGAGAGAGCCATCTCCAGCAGCTATGGATCTGGCTTATCATCGGAAACGATTCCTCTCACGGCTGCCGCTAGAACTGGTCCATCACTCTCCACAACAGAGCGAACATTCCATGAGCCAACGCTCAGAGTCGTTCCAAGTTGTCGTCTTCGTGCAGTAGTTTGCTCCACTCGCGGGCTTGCAAAGCCTCGCGAAGGACTCCGAGGTGGGGGCGACGAGGAGAGTGTCGGCATCGTAACTATCCGACCAAGTCTCCTGTCGGTGAATACCCCACCTCAGGCACTGTTGGCCTGGACGGCTGGGGACACCCCAGGCCGTCCACAACAGCGAGAACAAGCACGGACGGAGGCCAGAAACAAAGCCCGGAAAAGTAAAACCGTCCTCCACCAGAGCAGAGAACACACACATTGTCAAGATGTTCAACTATTTGAAATCTTTCAAACACACACACACACACACACACACACACACACACACACACCATTGGACCATTGGACACACACACACACACACACACACACACACACACACACACACACACACACACACACACACACGGAAACATCAGGATTGCCCATGGACCTTCTGAAAATACTACAGTCACAATTTCGCCTATATGTGACTTCTTGAAAGTCAATGAACTGCAAAACAACGTATATTTATGCTATCAGGAACAACAATGCTCTTGGTGCATTTCTGCACTTGATGTAGTGGAAGGAACATAGATTACCAGTGAGAAAAGTATACAACACAACATTGCAGATGGATCAAGACCTCCCACAAGCCAGGGTGTAAACGATCGAGAAGCGCAAAGTGCTCATTTGTTACTGGAATGCATATTGGAGAGTCGTTTTTAAAACAAATGGACTCACATCCACGTGCTAATACTTGTCAAGTGAAGAAGGATGTGCTGGAGAATTCTAGATGAATTATGTTGCTATACGTGCAGGCGGGAATAGCACAAGGAAAAGTTAGAAGAGGGGAAGTATTCGTAAAGAGGCTGGTGAAAAAAAACTAAGACATAATTATCAGCACTTGAATGTGCGTACGGTGAACTAACAAATGCAGATATCGTCCACCCATGTAAGTCGGCCACAGAGCAAGTAGATGGCTTTACTCATGTCAAAGTACTTGTACACAGCGGAAGCCGCCAGGATAAACGAAGCGGGCCTTGGCAGTGCAACGACAGCTAGCTCTGGACTTGGATCCACTGTAGCCATGGTGATGCCATCGCAACTTGCCTGTGTTCTTGCAGGGCGGACACGGTGGCAAGCGTTTACAGATGGAGTGTGGCGACGATCAGGAGAACTAGAGCGAGCAGAGATGATGGCATGACAGGTCCATAAGAGGCTCCGGCTGAACGGAAAGAAAAACAAAAGAAAATCACTCCCTCAGTTACTCCATCATGTATTGAAACGTGAGCAACTTTTGCAAGAGATTTAATGTCGCTACTCCCACGACCATCACACCATGGAGAGTATAAATAGCCCCGAACTGCTCTGTAAATTGATTGTAGCCAGTACATGATCAGTACAACAACTATAAAGTACATGAACATAAATGTGACCATACAGGGCTGTAGAAGTGGACTGCATCGCGAAAGCTTCTCATCATGAACCAGCGCAATTATTGATTAAAAGAATCCATAACCCCAAAAGTGTGCAACTGGGGTCTGGCTGCTGTAGGCACAGTGCGCGGCGGAAATCCAACTTTAGTATTTACAGTCAGCATGCCGCTGAGGCACAGAGGACAACACTCCACATTCCGCGGTGCTTTGGAACCAGGGAGTTGTACAAGCGCAACGAATGTGACGTAAAGTTGGAATTCCGCCGCGCGGATCCCCATGTACAGAGGTGCACGCTCTTGAGGTTATGTACTCTTGTTAACCCTTTTTACCACCGCTACAAGGGTGTGCCATTCAGTCACTGGACGAAATTCTGCTTCACGTAAAAGTAAGGCAAATAGCCCACTCCACAACTTTATGGTCCTGGCAACTGGGCCTTTGAACTGTTGGGAAATGGAGTCCGAGACTACTACCATCACATTGACTAACTTGATATACAGTGCTGGCAACTGAAATCCGACCCCCTGGGCGGCGCGGCGCGTCGCCCAGGGGGTCGGATTTCAGTTGCCAGCAGTGTAGCACCCAAAACGAACTGTGCAACACGCCACAAAACCATCCCAAGGTGGCTGCGGGGGATCTCAGTGGCACAAACTACCTGCATGATTGCAAAGTGAGCATGTTGGCCATAGCAAGAGAGTGATTATGTACTCATGGTGACATGCACTGGTGCTTTCTCCGAAATACTACAAAATAGTACAAATCAATCAATATTATGTGCTAGAGATTTAATTTCGCTAATTTCGCTGGTTTTGCTGATATCGCCGCTTGGTGCCAACCGGCTAAAGTAAATCGCAAACCAACAACCTTCCAACTTGGAAGGCTCAGGTTCGAGCTACGTATCACGACAACAAAGAATGCCGAAAAGTTACTGGATGACGAAACTAGTAAGACTGTTCGACATACCGGCCCTACTACAACTCGACGACACAAAGCAACAGACCACCCAACTTGGGAGGCTCAAGTTTATGTAATAAACATAGAAAGGTGAAGCTAAGCGAAGAGGAATTGTGACATAGGAAACGTCAACATCCTACTGAACTCCACTATCATGTATGATGGACTAGTTATGTACAATAACAAGTAGTTCCACACGACACATGAGCCTTCCAAGTTGGAAGGTTGTTGGTTTGCGCCTTGGAGAAGTGTTGGAGCTAGGTGTCAGGTCGCCGAATGTCTCAGTACTCCTTGTCAGTTTTGTGCCTTTTTGTTGCACTCGCTGACTGCATAAGATCTGGTTATGTTGGTGGACAGTTAGTCATAAAACTCGTAACATTCTGTCCTTCTCCCTTTCACCCAATTTTCTGGTCAATGTTGCTACGATAAACTGGCTCTCATTTGCCACCACCCGTATTTCGATACAGCCATCCGGAGTAGAGAAACAGCCAGAAGAAAAGCAAATTTTACACATTTGTTAAATTAAAAAGCCAAATCACCTCGTGCTGAAGTGCTTGAAGGAGCTATGGTGGTTGGATCTACACCAACATCTAAACGAAAAGAAAATGCATGCACACACACACACACACACACACACACACACACACACACACACACACACACACACACACACACACACACACACACACACACACACACACACACACAAACACATCCACACACACACACAGAATGAATTTCGGAATCTTTGGAAAAGGCTTTGCCCAAACGGCCCCCTAGCTCAGCATTTGTTGTCATAAACTATGATCACACCACAACAACACACAAATGTGACATAACTACAAAAACATACACACCAACAACATACACAACTGTGACAACAACAACAACGACAACATACAAGCACACAACTGTGCGAATAGTGGCAGGCCTTACTGTAGGATTTGAAGACGATCACGGGGTACTTGTATTGGCTGACGGGCGTCATATCGGTAGTTTGGTCGAAGAAGAGCAACTCGTACGTATCCCACTTCAAATTAAGTGGGCTAGTGAAAGCTGTCCAGCCGCACACATCAGCAGATGTTGTAGCCTCGTAGCACATTGAGTCGTACACACGATACTCAGCGTTTGTAGCCACGTTGGGAGCGAAGGCAAATGTGCTTGTATTATCCTGTGTCATGTTGTGCGTCTGGATGAGAACGTTTTCTTGATTGGTGAAACCACTTAGAACGGTAGAAAAGACAGCTGCAGAGAAACATATGCAAGAGAGTGGTGTGTGTGTGTGTGTTTGTGTGTGTGTGTGTGTTTGTGTAGTGAAGTTTGCGTGGAAACGTTAGTGAAAGACAGATAGACAGACGAGATGGACAAAGACCGTAATATATTTCTAGCCATAAAGTTCGTGTGACACACAACACTTGCGACAAGGAAATGCCTGTCGTGAACTGTCACAGTGTTGCCAAGTGCCCTCTGCCCCCATGCGTACTGCCAAGTGCCACTTTGAAGAATTTTTCAGAGCTTTGATTACTCGTGTATCCGAGGCAAACGCTATCAAGCAGTCAAAGCTCAAGCCAAAAAAGGAACAAAAATTCAAGCCATGGACTATTAAGCAGGTCTCCAAGGCTGTGAAGATACTATCAGCAGTGAAGTCCGTCATACCGACCGTTTCAAGACGACTGGTCACGGAACAAACAAAAAAACGGAGCGAAACTGTCGAAAGCTTCTATGCGGCATCACCACGTTCATTCGACTCATCACAGCGAAGGCTGAAAGATGGTGGTCATCACACCAGACAAAATTAGTTGCATTTTGCATATTGCCAAATGATTTTCCTTTCGCTGGCCGTATAGTCAAGGCTCTGTCGGTACTTTGAGGTATAAGCATACTCTCACACACTGGGAAACTGACAAGAGAGGAAGCTTACCTTCCTGTGCCAGCGCCGGACTCATGGAGTAAAGAACAGCTGCATAGGTAGTCATGCCAACCATCATATTGGCAACGAAGTTCGTGCTGCTGTTGACTTGACTGGGGGTGAGGTCAGCGCTGACAGTCTGCATGGTGAGTGATGTGAAAGTAGGACGCACTGCCGTTCCCAGGATAGCCTGCAGGACTATCATACCAATGGTTCCAGTTGGGACCCCGGCAGCAATGAGATGTGAGCCAACCGTTGCACCTGTGTATGACGCACAAAAAATTATTATTATTATTCCAGTCAACTTCGCTTGTAACGACACTCGGCGGGGCATCAAAAAGGTGTCCTTATTTTGCGAAGTGCCGTTATACCCGAAGTCTCATTTCATGTTTTACAGTGGGATGGTACTTTGCTCTGGGTATGGAAATTCTGTCGGTATTGGCGAAGTTGACTGTATAATGATGATTTTTATATTAAAACAGAAGAAATCACGCGGAAACGAGTTATGAAGTAACTATCCACGACTGTAACAAGGTAAGAATTTTTATTATTATTATTATTCAAAGCATCTGTCGGGGACATGAACTGCCTGAAAAGAGAGAAAAAGCCAGACCCACCTGGGCTTGAACCCGGGACCTTGCTTGTCATGAGCAATGCTCTAACCACCGAGCTATGGGACCAGGCTGAACCTAGAAGGCGCTGACAAGTTTTTCACTCCAAAGACAGCTCACAACACATGCCACACATACTGATGGAACTTCAAGTGACTCGGGTCTTCTTCCCTCCCCCATGGGACCAACCACGGTCAGTTTCTGGAACGTACTACGGTACCAGAGGTAAAAGTCAGTGATTAATTTGTTCAGCCTGGTCCCATAGCTCAGTGGTTAGAGCATTGCTCATGACAAGCAAGGTCCTGGGTTCGAGTGCTGGTGGATCTGGCGTTTTTTCTCTCTTTCCAGGCAGTTCACTTCCCCGACTGATGCTTGAATTTGAAGTTCTCCCAAATCTTTCAAAATTATTTCCCCCCCCCCCCCCAAAAGATAAGTATTAGATCGCAAGTATCCATGCAAACACACACATCCAGTCAAACGAGGCACTTGTCATAAAGTATCCGAACGTTTTCAGTCCTTCTCATTACGGATTGCACAGAGAATCTGAATGGCTCAAGTGAGAAAGACTAAAATTATAAAACTAGTATTCTTTTTTCATCATTTCTTCCATATCACATTTGCTTCTCCTTCCCTGTTCTTGACCGCTTTCATATCCACTCGTTTTGAACATAATATACAGCCTTTGTGAAAATGACTCTTCAACTCGTTCCGTTCATCGCCATTCTAAGACTGTTGTCGCCTCATCGTTTATTTACTCATGTTGTTGCTACTCAACACTTGCAAGCCAGATGCTCAGTGTTGAGTTTCGGAGAGAAAAGAGCAGTACGTGGCATGTGGCCTCTACAGTCCATTTCAAAACTATAGACGCGTACCTAGGCAAAAACCGTTATGCCAGCATCTATACCACATAAAATCTGTGATCACTTTGTGCATAATTTTTTCCAAATTGGGCGTCTGTTATCCAATCGTTTAGAAACTATATGAGAGTAATTGTGGAGCGGTCCTGAGCAATATTCCGAAAACTATTCTCAAAAAGTTCCAGCCAAATTTGAAATATTTCAAAAACCCTACGCGTCTATAGGTTTGAAATGCACTGTAATTTCCTAAAACTTTGAAATTCTCCGTGAAGTCCAAATTTGAAATTGTTGCTACTATTCAGTATTGTTATTAAACAAGCGTTTCGGAGAGAGCAGTTTTTAATCTAGCTACACATTCACACTTCCTTCCATCTGTTTATGCTTTGTTTTGCTGATGCCATGTTTCACAGTATAGTATGCCGCGGTCGGGCCGGTTCTGGGACAGGTACATGGTCCAGCCTCACACGCGCATGTTGTTACCTGCTGAAATTGTCCCCCGCTGAATACATGTACAGTACGGATCGGCTATAGCGTTGGTGTTTGATTTTCGTGAAAATATCACTATAGGCGATATATTACTACAGGCGATCTGCATACTTAGGTATGCCTGACACATGCGTGTATGGTGTCATTCGAACCAGTGCAGCGTGCAGAAGCTAGAAGCGTGCTGTGCATGCGACTGTGCAGTACGCGCAGTGCAGAACTACTTCCTGCGGAAACAAAAACTTCGTGACTTTTTGACATGAGTTTTCAAGGAGTTGTGCTCAACAAATGTGTTCTTTTGGAATAGAAACACTTCAACACATTCAAGCGACATATCAACAATATCTACAGGATCGATCAGTGGGAGTAGAGTCTCAGTCTGGGTCGCCATCGCTCGACTCATCACCGCTGAAACCGTTCCAAGTGGCAGGTCGATCGACGCGTGATGTCGTATGTCACGGAGAAGCTTCTCCGCGTCCCTGAAGTGATCGTCTTCGCTGTTAACTGAATGCCTTCTCCAACATCTCGGCGGAGACCACGGTAGCGCTTTAGCGCTGGTACTCATTACTGCCTCCGCTCTCGCTCGAGGATGCCCCGGAACAACAAGCCCAGCCAACGCCAAACATTTCGAATTTCCTCCGAGGGATATCATAGTCGTACCAGCGCTTCCTGATGGCCGCGATCAGATCTCGCAATGTACGACGTGTAATTTGTTATGATCATCACTATAGCCGATGAAAAATGTATGCAATAAAATCATTTTGACAAAGAAATCGTATCATTATAGCCGATATATTACTATAGCCGATTATTACTATAGCCGATCCGATATGCATAGAAAGGGGTGGTTTACGATAATGAATTTGAGAATACGATCACTATAAGAGGTATATTACTATAGCCGACAACCCTATAGCCGATCCGCACTGTACTATAATCAAATTTTTGTTGCCCTCTATTTCCCTTTCTTTCACTTTTATTTGTCCATATAAGATAAGTTTCAAGTAGTCCCCATTCCATTGTTACGTAGATTCACTGACGAATGTAACAAGCAAACAGTTCTGAACAAATCCTCGCCTTCACTTTCGTCGTGTGCCTTGCGATCGTCGTGTAACATTTTACACATACATGTCCCGGGCATAGTGCAGGCATAGTGCAGGCATAGTGGGATGGTCTAAGACCATGATTGAGAAACAGAGGGTACCAGGTTCAAGTCGTGCTTGGAAGCGGAAGGAATTTTTCCAGCCGTGCTGCGACCCACAGTTAATTGGGAACTCGTGGCCTGGCACGAGGGTAACATGGATGCAGCTAATGGGATTTCGGTCTTTGACCACTTGGTGGTGGGTCTGATCTACTCACCTCCCACCGTTTAGGCGCTGCATCTGCGCCTTTGATCCTAGAGGGTGGTGGCGTTCCCACGGCGGATGCGGAAAACTCGGCTTCCAGCCGAGTCTCACGCGAACCGTGAAATTTATTATTATTTTTATTTATTTTATGTCGGCATAATAGGAAAGGCTGACAGTATAATCAGTCCTCTTTGTAGCTATATTGTCACTTCAGCATTGGGCATTGTCACTATTATTATTTTCTTTCGAGATTTTTGTCATTCGGAACTTGATAATTTTACCAATGCATTTCC